GGAGAAGTATGCACCAGAATTATAGTCATGGTGAAGGCCTGAAATGTATTCCCTGCTCTGCCACTGATTTATTGGGTGGCCTTGGGCAAGTCTCTTAACCTCCCCATGCCTCAGTTTCCCTATCTGTAAAATGGGGATAATACTTTTCTCTTTTGTAAGATGCTCAAATTAATTAATATTTTGCAAAGTGGTTTGTGCTCTCTGAATAACAGATGCTGCTACATAAGTGTAAAGTATTAGCATTACTGAAAAGTCCACACAGTGCTAAGAAAAGATAGCAATATTCCACTGCTCAGAGAGTGCGTTCTAAGAATAGCAATATCTGTATCTGCAGAGAATAATCCATGAGAAAGAGATAAGAATCAGATTACAGAATAGAGAAGACAAGTAATTTATTGTGTGCTGTGGAAAGAATACAGAGCAACATGTTATCACAGTAGCACTGTATATGTGAGATGGTATTTTCCAATAGCTCACTAGAGAGAAAATAATTTACCATTCCAGTTAAGTGCCTTAATGGTCTAATGCCACTCCCCTGCAGTGTTCCTGAATGGATTGTGGAGCAGGGTAGTTTTGTTAATTAACTAATGATACTGAAAAATTGATGTAGAAAATCACTGTTAGGAGTAGCTCATTAAATGTGACCAAGAAGGCAGCTTGCTCTAATCACTACACGAGGGAGCTTGGGTTTGTTCCCACCTCTGCTACTGACTCTTTGTGATCTTAACTGTGTCTCTTGACATCTCTGCTTCTTGGTTGACCCTTTTGCAGATAGGTATAACAATTCTTACCTACCTCACAGGACCATGGGAAGGCTAAATTACTTGCTGACTGCAAAGTAATGTGAACTCCTGTGGTGAAAGGAGCTATGTGATAAGCATCATGATTTCAGTGGTAAACAAAATGATGTGAGAGCATAGAGGGCTGGATTCTGATCAGCACAGCTCCATGACCTTGGGCTGGTTCCGTGCTGGCCTCAAAGTATTTCAAAGCAGCTCAAAATTATTCTGGGTTCCAGGAGCTGGCAGTATCTGCTCTATGCTAGCTAGAGATTCTCCCAGCAGAGCAGAGTCCCCAGCTAAGGAGACCTGGTTGCTTTCCAGCCCCATTTGCACTACCCAAGAGGTGTGAAGAGGCCTTAATGTAGCTTAGACCCAGAGAGATCATGCCCTTCACTTGAGGGTTTCAAAGTAGATAGTGAAAACAACCTCTTTCTGTTTTGGCTTCTGCTCTGTCTATGGGCCAATTGTCATGATGTGGTCTAATGGGTGTTCAGGGTTTTCAAAATGTTTTCCTTGTTCTGCCAGGTGACTCTTCACAGTGTTGCCAATAATTTCACAATATTTAGTGTTTTTCTTAAAGCTCCAGCTCCCAGATTCATGTGATTAGGTGAGAATTTCACTTTTCATTTTATTTATTTATTTCATACTTATGGTTACAGAGAAAAGCTTGAAAACCTCGTGGAGGCTCAGCAGCCAGAGGGAAGTATAAATTACCCCAAATTAAATCTCAGGATGTTTAAGCCAATCTCCTGGATTTCTGGGACCTGACTCGGGATTTTTGAACAGTTGGCACTGGCAATTCTGCTCCTGTGTTTCTTATTGGTAGTTAGTGTCCCATCTACCTCCATGTGACACTGACTGGAGCAGCTGTTACCCAGTCTCTGGCTCCGAGAGTTACTCTGGTTTATGACAGACCTACATTTCTTAGTATGAAACAGAAGTAAATACTTAGGATTCTTATTTTCCAGGATCTCTATCAACAATGCTTTTGCATTTCAATAGCCCCTTTCATCTCAGGATCTAAAATCACTTTAGAAACCTTAGCCATAATCAGGCTTTCACAGAGGCTAAACTATCTTAAAAATGAGGAAACTGAGGCACCGAGAGGTGATGTGAGTTACCCAAGGTGATGCAAGAACTGAGTGGCAAAGCTGGGAATAGATGTTGTAACTGATGCCTCCCAGCCCTGAGTGCTACATTAAAGTAATAAGAGTCAAACCAGGGGGGAGAATTTTGCAATCTTGTTTTAATTATGTTTGTCGAATTTAGTTAGTCTGGAAGCAGTTTCTGTATTTCAAGCAGTGGGGGGGAGTTCTTTAGGCATCTGGCCAGCTGAATATTAGTGCAGATACTGCGAGCCATTTAGTGTCTGAGCTGCTCTGTCTTTCCAGTGGATGGGAGCATCTGTTTATTTAGGGCCAAAGTTTGCCACCCATACTCACACTCGGTAGATCCTTACTCTGCACGTAGCCCCATTGAAATCAATATAGCCAATTGTGTTAGTACGGTACAATTCAATGTGAGTGTGGGTTGTGGGGCATCAAAATCTGGCCCTTTGCTGTTAGGAAACATGTATTATCTTCCCCCTCCCCCACCTTCCCTGGTGATGGAGTGTAAATCCCACACTGGTTCTGAGAGGGTTAACAGGAGCCTGTGAACTCAATTAGCCTGCCTGCTGGCACCTGTAGGGGTGGTAAGTAGGTCAATTAGCAGATCCACCTGAAGAAGAGTCAGGTGTTCCTTAAAAGGACTTAGAAAGCTCAGTTAGAGAGGATGCTATGAGCTCTTGCTCTCTGAGATTACCTCCCTTAATAAGGGAGTGGGGATAGGAGGGAGTTAGCACCTATGGTGGATTTCAAAAGAGGGATATGAGTTCAGGGAGGCAGCCCTGGGGAGCTGGTCTTCAGCTGAGGAGCAGAGTATCAGGGAGGCGTTCTGAAGGACTGAAGCCTAAGTCTAGTGAGGGTAGAGGTGGTTTAAGTTTATATGGTTGGTTTGGGATCCTTTAGAGAACCCCAAGGGGAATCCTGCAAACCGCAGCCCTGAAGGACAGGTGAAGCCTGAATCCTTCGGGTAGGTGTGAGGAATGTTGCTACATGGTGAGCCCAAGAAGGGGCTGTTAGGGAGGCCTGCAGATAGCCGAGGTAGGAAGAAGCAGAGGGCCTGAGTAGACAGACCTTGCCTGCTTGATACAAGGTCCCTGGCATGGAACCTAGAAGAGAGGGAAAGCCTGGGTTCCCCTACCAACCACTGGAAAAAGTGGTTGAAGACCCCAGATACTGGGGGGGGGGGTTAATACTAACAAGTCCAGACTTGCGCCAAAGACTCAGCTTGAGGCCATGAGACTATTGTTTGTTGGACTTTAAGGGGCAGGATGAAAAGCAGTCTGGCTGGAGAGCTGAGTCACAAGATGAGCCACACCACTGCAAGGCTGGAGCAGCTGTGGGCAGGGGTTGCCAGACAAGGAGGGCCTGCTAGGCCATCCTCAGTCATGAGGGGACGCTCCAGCGATGAGCTTACTCTTCTACACCTCCGTTCTTCTTTTATTATATTTTTGTATTTCCTAGTCTGAGCATATTGTCATTCTCCCCACCCCCACTGCTGTCTTTTAAGGCGGACATTTTTCTTAGCCAGTAACTTCTTTCAAAATGCAGAACGTGTATGAGTTACCTGGCTTCTGCTCCATTTCCAGTGTGTATTGTTTTCTCTCACTCCTCATTTGATTAGTGGTCCTGGTAACCGACAGAGTTTCTACAGGATCTTAGAAATGTTTTGCATATTATACAACATGGTAGCTAGCGTTCCATGTGCTGAGGATGTTTTTCCTGAGGGTGTTGTATTCATTTCACTTCCCCAGTTTGTTTTATGGTTCTGGATATGTAATTCCAACAGCCAACTCTATAGTAAAGAGACTGGACATCTCTCTTTGTCTTCCATGTAGCCACTCTTTCTCCAGTCTGGGTCTCTTGGACATGACATTTCTGGAGTTGGATCCTTTTGTATATATCCAGGACATAGCAGCCTTTTTTCTGTCTCAGAAGGATATTCTTGTTTTGGGATTCCCTTATTTATCCAAATGTTCTAGTAAATTGCATTCCTTGCAGTGCTTATGCAGGAAGAGTTGTGCATATATATAGTATTTGTGCCCACTCTGTCAGTTTTGCCATTAGAAGGTGGAGTTCTGAGACCAGGAAGCAATGCGAGCGGACCAGGTTGTGTATTGGTGCACGGGCTTCTCGCTTCCATCTTTTTCTGCCTCGTAAATTGCCCTGTGACAGGGTTCAGCACGTAATCAGGAATTTTTTCATCAACTTCAATGGACTTTGGATCATGCTATTTGATAACTGCTCTGCTCTCTTCTACCCCAGTCCTCTCCCCTAGGAATGTTTTGCCTACATGTTGTTTAAATTTACACCTAAAAGCTAAATGGACAATAAAGCCCAGTCTTGCATCACTGCAAATCTACCTAAACGGATGTCCTGCTGCAGTTTCAGTCTTGCTGTTCACACTGTGGGGAGCAGCACATGGAATCTGTACTAGTTGAACAGGATCATCTTAGACCCAAATCCTTATTTGTAGGACAGGGCTTTATTTTATATTAATGGTGGTGGTTTGGGTAATATGGCATAACACAGAGTGATGTCTCTTGAGATTTAATACAATACTTAGTGCTTATATAAGGCTCTTTGGAGTCAAAGCACTTTGCAAACATTAACTACTTAATCTTCACAGCCCTCCTGTGGGGTAGATGAGTGGGAAAACTGACATGATTAAGTGACTTGGTTGCAAAAGGCTACAGGAATCTGTATCAGACCTGGGATCAGAACTTCCTAGCTCCCAGCCCTGCATGCTAGACAATGCTTCTCAAGAGAATAAAGTTCATGCGTGGCCATCAAAGCACCAGAATATGGAAAAACAAAGATAAAGGGCCCTGAGGAGCGTATTTCAGTGGAAACATCCATAACTGTAATACATAGTCAGATTTTCAGACACCAGTGTCCCTTTTTACAGGGGCAAATTGTAGGTCCAAAATTGCAACAGCAAAAATGGAAGGCTGGTGTACAGTTTTCTGTATCACATAAAGGGTGTTTTTGCAGGTTAGGACCCATCAGGCATATAAACAGATTTTTTTTTTTAATATATGAAGCTAAAATATTCCCTGTTGTCTAGGATGGGGAGGCCTAGCCCTGCTCAGGAGCTCCTGGCCTCTCTGGATGCTCAGATAAGATCTTTCACAAGGTCTGAAGGCAGAACGTTTCCTGCCACGCTTGTAGTCCCCATTCCCGACTTCTTCCTGGTAACAAGCACCATGACCTGCACGGTCCTTTTCAGAGCCGGCTGGCAAGCAGGCCTGTCTGCCAGGAGATTGGGCCTGGTTGTAGGGTCGGGTTGCTGGGTGAGCTTATAGCACCTGGGATAGTTACTGAAACATTCAAAAGTGTCGTTGCAGTTCCTGCAAGCCCCAGGGGACTCAGGGAAGGCTGTGGAGAGCCTGGCAGAGGTTCTGCCCTCTCTGGTCTGGAAAGACTGGAGTGTGATGACACTTTGGTGGCTGCAGCAGATGACGGCACAGATGGCCTGCAGCAGGGACAGGTCTTTGGAGAGGAATTTCTGGAAGTTGGGTTTGAAGAGCAGATAGACCAGAGGGTTGTAGGTCGTTGAGGACTTGGCAAAAACGGCAGAGAGTGCAAAGGCCAGAACTGGAACCTGGCTGGCATCTCCAAAGGCTGCCCACATGGCAACAATTGCATACGGGGTCCAAGCAGCCAGAAATCCAATGCACACAGCAATGCTTAGCTGGAAGAGAAAAGGAAATGACTATGGTATGAAGCATAGTGTTCCCCCAACACTCATGAAGTGCGCACAGGCCTATGCCAAAATCCCAAGGCCAAGTAACCCTAAGCTTTGAGAGGATGGGAGGTTCCACTTTGAACCTAACCCCAATTCAGCCATGGCCCCTAAGGGCCAGAGCCAGCCCTCTGGCTCAAACGTTCCAGATCAAACTTTTCCTCAGCAGCCCCTCTGTAGCATACACATGTGTACAAAGAATAATAATAAAGACAGCTCCTAGCTTTGCAGTGAGCATTTTGGCTGCCATCCCATCTGCAGCAATGTATCTAAGGGGAGAAATGATGCCACAGACCCCTGGCACAATAGTTAGGTGGGTCTCTGTTTTTCAATATTCCCTCCGTCACCAACAGACCATCCACACTAGATATGTTTGTGGGGTCAGGAGGCCTCACTGCAGGAAATAGATAGCTCCTGAGAGAGACGGTGGTGCTGAAAAGAAACCAGGTGGTGTGTGTGATATCCCCTTTCTGCCTTCTCCTGCTGTGAGGTCTTAACCCTATCTGTATGTTGGGATGGATGTCCGTTGGGGTGGTATTTTGAACACAGTTTGAGAGCCCTATTCCTCTGTGTATTTGAATAGCTATGATCTGAAAAGCTGTGTGATGCTTGGACGTGCAGGAAGGTTCAGTATGTAAATGGTTAAATTGCCAGCCGGCAATGTAACATAGGCAAAGCAAGTCAGCATGTTACAGCTCAGATACGTTAGTTGCTTCAACCATATCATTCTGTTCTATATCACATAGGACGCTTGTTGGGGAAAGGTTAAGAATCCTGAGGCTTTCCTTATCATGATGAGCTGTGAAGGCAAAAAGCACAAGTAGGCTGAACATAATAAGCTCTTTGGGACAGAGAAGAATTATTGTATTACAGTCACACCAAAAAGCCCTAACGGGAACAGGGCCCTGTTGTGCACAGTGAGAGACAGTCTCTGTCCCAAAGAATGTATAATCTAGAGAGAGACAGCAAACAAATGGGGAGGGGCATTTTTCCTCCCATTTTACAGATGAGGAACAAAGGCACAAACAAAAGAAGTTAGTGGCAGGGCTGGGAGCTGAGTGCTGGTCCAGTGGTTTCACCACAAGTCCATCCTTCCTCCTATACCGCACGCACATTTGAGTCTATGTTAGAAAATCAAATTTTCTTCCTTTAAAAAAGGCATCAATTCTTTTGACAGACTTCTCCCGCACCCCCTGGTAAATTATAGTATTAGCCTGAGACTGGGGAACAATGAGTCATGAAGGCAGCATTTTTTTTATTATTTCCAATGTAATTTAATATGAAAACAAATCCATCAGATGGCTTTAAATAAGGAGGAGGAGAAGGGATGTATTACTAGCAGCACAAATATAAACACCTGGAGAATTAATCTGGCTTGGTAAATACTTCTACTTTTCAGAAGCCTTCAAGGAGTCTCATTATTTTAGGTGCAAATAAATATGGACTCGTGTGGACTCATTCAAATGCTTGACTCAGAATTCCAAACAAACCAGTGTTTGATTGAGTGAGCAAGACCCTAGCATGTTTGGATATTGCCTCCAGGAAGCTGCCTCCATCTGTCACTGGTGAAGGTGGCTTTGCCACCCTGGCTCCAAACTCCTCCATAATAAAAGGAGAATGTGTTTGCCAACAAATCAAGGCAGCTCTGGGAACAGTCAGTTATGCTGCTGTCACTAGATAGTCAGGAAACGCTCAGATTTTGAGATACGGGGGGTGGGGGTGGTCATATTTTCAGCCTGCACTTGCCTTTGTTTTAATGTTTTGTGCCTGGGGAATGTGGGGGAGGGATGGAATAGTTGCAGACAAGATTATTTGTTGCTGATCTGATAAGATTTTTTTCTTCTTTCATGATCCTGTGTGTTTCTTTCATGTGTCACTATGCAGGGAAATGGTAACAGCCATCTTTTCCCTTCCTATTTTCATGTTCTCAGTTATTTATTAGCCACGCTTTCCCACCCCTCCATTGTGTGTCTTGATTGCCAGAGTGCTTAGGTGGTATTTGGATAGTAGGGTACGTATTTTTCCTTTTGGAGAGGAATAGAAATAGGATAGAGCTTCAAAATTTGGAGCCAGGGTTCAGATCCAAATTTCACCCAAAATTTGAGGGCCTAGCATCTGGCTTTTGGTTTGGGCCTATTTCTAGGGAGGAGCAAGTGTCTTCAGAATTCTTAGTCTTCTGCTGAGTTTGTCTAGATATACTTGGGCCGATCTTCCAGTGACTCAGCAACTACAAGCCTAAAATGTGTGTGCATTTACTGCAGCTGTGCAATCAAATGGGCTAACTGTGGACCTAATGTAACTAATTAGCCAGGTGCATGCATATTAGGCATATATTTGCATGCCTAGCTTGTTTGAGAATCTGGCCCTCAAATCCTGGGCAGTGTTCAGGGTGTCTCAGCTGACAGAGCAATTAATTGCTCAGGAAAGGGTAATGAACCCTCACACTTCTGGCATCAGCTGATCCCTACTGATGTTAGGAAGGAAAGGCCCATGTGATCAATTGACCAGCAGCATGGAGAAGAGGAGGGCACTTTGCTCTCAAGCAGTGGTGCTCAACCTATTTACCATTGTGAGCCGCATACACAACTCTCTCTGTGTCATGTGGGCCGCATCCACACAATATGTATTCTACCTGTATGGCCCTGAGAATGTCACATGGATTGCAGCTGTGTGCTGATTGGGCCACAAGCGGGTTGAGAACCACTGCTCTAAAGCATGAGGTATTGGCCACTGCCAGAGGCAGAATGCTGGACTTAAAGTACTAGTGACCTGATGCAATAAAGCAAATCCTGTGTAATGCCATACTGTCCTCTTCAACCAATGAGCTGGGCAGGAGTTCCAGCTGCACTAGAAGACCATAGGAGTGAGAGATCATTGAGTCCATTCCCCTGCAAGATCATCCAGCCCCCACAAGCCATGTATCAGGCTCTACCCTGGTAAGTGATGAACAGAGAATGGAGAAGAGATACAGGCAGTGTCTGATGTTTTACCTCGTCTTAGAAGCTCTGCTCAAGCTGCAGAATTCTGCTGCAAACTGGCTCAGAGCTTGAACTTTCCCAATAGTTCAGCAGGCTCAAATCAGATTATTTTTTCCAGTTATTTTTTGTTTTAAATAATTGATAATACTTAGCACTTTGCATGCAAGGATCTCAAGGAGCTCCACGAAGCTGGATGAGTATCATTATCTCCATTTTACAGACAGGTAAACTGAGGCACAGAGAGGGGTGTTGGCCTGCCTGAGGTCACAGAGGAAATCTCTGGCTGAGCTGGGAGCAGAGCCCAGAGGTCCTACATTCCAGTCCATGCTGTATCCCCTTAGTAACACTTTCCCCATGTGTGGTGAGAGATCTCCCAGCAAAGCCCCTTTGCTTTCATTGCTGCACACAAGCCCCATTGCCCTACCTTGACAATCAAGCTGTGCACGCTGTTGGCTTTGCTCTGCAGTGACATGTGCTGCTTCACGGCTCTTCGGGACACTTTCACAGTCCAAAGGATGAGCGAGTAGGAGATGAGGATCAGAAGGCAAGGGAAGAGGTAACAGAAGATGAAGAGGGCCACGATATAGATCATTGCCTCCCTGGTTGAAGCTTTCCACTTAAGGCAGCAGGCTGTCCCATAGGGCTCTGGTCCGTAACTGCCCCAGTTGGCTAGCGGAGCTATGGCAAAGACAAGGGCGTATGCCCAGACACACAGTAACAGGACACCAGCGTGTGTGGGAGAGAACTTATTGCCTGCAAAGAGAGAAATGACAGCAGTTGGCAGATTTCCAAAGAAAAGGGCTGAGCTCCCTCAGTTCTGAGGGGATGGCTTTCAGAAAAGGGCCATAATCTGGAGCCGTTTATCTGAGCCAACCCCAAATGTAGGGCATTGAGATGAAATAGGACCCACATATGACCGCCACCCCCTAGTTCTGGTTTTGCAGAGCAAACTTAGAAAGGCAGGTTAGCGTTATCATCCCCCATTTTAAAGATAGTGAAACTGAGGCACCACAGACAGGCTAAGTGACTTGCCCAAGGTCACAGACAAGAGGCAGAGCTAAGAACAGAACATGTCTCCTGCTCCCCAGCTCTGGGCTTGTCCCCTGATGCATGCTGCTTTTGCTGCAGGTAGCAAATGCTCTTTTGGATTGATGAGATTTTTTTACAAACCCAACCACCCTTAGCAGAGATCCCCTCTCCACCTCCCCCCCCCACCCCACTACGCTTCTCAGCTTCAGTCAGTAGAGTTACTTGAATAACTATTGTTCTCAGTTTTTACTTTCAGAGGAATTGTGTGAAAAAGTGTGGGTAGCTCCTCCAAGGTTTTCAACAAAGCTTTACATTTTACATTACATGGGCTCAGGACTGCGTTTTCAAAGGGCTTCTGGAATTTGATGCACAGTAAATAGTCTGCACCTCTGCGCATGAAACTTTGCGTATTTACACACATGCACGGCTGCACCTGCAAGTACTTTCAGAAGCCATTTGAACATGTGTCCCTTAATGTCAGTGCTGATGGACAGCTCCAGTCCCGAGGGGTATAGCCTCCTCTTGGTATGTGCCAGTCACTGCCATTTGTTTTGATTGTAGTCACTGTATGGATGCATCAGCAGCAGATTATGGCCCCCACCTTCCCAAGTAATACTCTAGCAATGTTGACTGGAACCCAAAAGGCAGCGTTTCCTCGTATCTGCCATGGGCAATGATCAGAATGGGAATCCAATACACATGTGCACTGAAGGCTGATTTTGCATGTGTGTGTGTGTGTGTGTCTATATACCTGGAACAGGCTGGATTGGGTATTTTCATACATTACCGTATGCAGGACAGTACTTAATATTTGACTTTAATTTGGGTCTGAGTCTCCGGTGACTGGTGTCCTAGCTATCAGAGTAAGTTGTTAAAGACAGACACCAAAAATATGGCGCTTTGGAATTAGTGTTGCTGAGGCCTGCATTTTCAGTAAGATGCATGTGTAATTACACGCCTCAACCGGCACAAAGTTACCATGAACATGTGCACAGTCATGGTCACTGCATGCACAAATGCACCAGTCTGTCTCTCTGGGTTCTGAGTATGAGATCCACGGTCGCTTTGGTCTTCCCCAGGAAGGTGTGCCAGAGCCTGGGCCCTGTTGCCGAGAAAGCCCTGCTCCCACAAGCTCCACTGGAGGTTGGCAGCTTCTTTGTTCCTGAGAAAAGCAGCTGTGAGGGAGGTGTTACTTCAGAGGGCGCCTCTCCCTGTGACATCTCAGGACAATCCCCTGTAAGGCCTTGAAGTTTAGCTCTGAAACCTTGAATTTGATGCAGTGTTTCACAGGGACCCTGGGTAGTAAGCAGAGCATCAGGAGTTGGGGAGAATGAAGTGCTCCTGGTGACTGGTGTTGCTGAGGAGAAGACTGCTGTCTTCTGGAGTTACTGAAGCTTTCCTGATGTTGGAGTGTTCATATCTAGATCCAGTGAGCGGCAGGAGCCCAGCCTGGAGGGTTGGAGGGCCTTGATCTCTACGGCCAAGCTTCTTGGCTAAGCTGAGGTGCAGTTTTCTGGCTAGTCACAAATAAAAGAGAACAATGTGTGTGGTCACAGTGTGGCATATGCTCATCAGCAGTGAGGAGTCCAGGAGGGCTGATGCTACCATCTTCAGCAGAGACCTTTGATGCAGGGCCAGGTGATGATAATTGGTAGGTCTCCAAAGTGTTTCTGTCTTCTCCCAGCATCACCTGTGTCGTGCTTGGTTTCTTCTTCAGCCAGGCAGAGGGAGATGAGGCTATTTGCAATGATATATAGATGACGTCCTCTGTGGTGTTGGCATTTGAGACCATGGTGTTTCATAGTTCCCCATAGGTCTTAAGAGTTGGAGAAGGAGGACTGAGCTTTATGGGACTCCACAGATCCTTGGTCTGAGGGGGGAGGAGGATTTGTCTATCGCCCTTCTCTCTGAACATCTTATAAGGTAGGACAAGAGCTATCCTAGAGCAGTCCTGTCAATTTCTGGTACAAATCAGGTGGCTTTCTGGAAATGTAGCTTGAAGTCCTCACGGTTTGCAGGCACATTGTCCTATATCCAGTGGGTTAAAGTCATCCCTGGTGTAACTCCAAGTAGGATAGAACAAAAAGCTGTCAAACAGTTGGTTGCTGGGAAATGAACCTTTTCCACTTCACTGTAGTTACTTTCAGTGAGATGAGATGCTGATTGTTACAGGGAGCTCTGCCCGTGTAGCAAACTCTGGGCAGGCAGCCTGAGCCGCCTGCCATTCACCACTTTGACCTGTGTCCAGCCAGGAGGATGTCTCCGTGAACACTGTGCACAACATGGCACTCCTGAGCTGAAGCAATCAGCCTTGGCTTAGCAGAGAAACACTGGAATGGATAACAACAATCTGCCTGGAGCTGAGGACCTTGGAGAACTTAACAAACACTAACTAATGAAGCCTCACCAAGCCGCTGGGCTGGGCAGTACACCAGGGCTTAATTTGTAATGAAAGAGGTGCTGGGGCTCAAGCAATTTTTTTTACTTTCATAACTGATGCACCAAGTCCCAGAGGTGCCGGGGCTCTGAACTGCCAAGCCCCAGAGGTGCCGAGGCTCAGCCCTGGCACAAATGAAGCACTGCAGTGTACACGTACTCTCATCCCCATCAGACAGCCAGGGAAAACGAAGCCCAGAAGGAGGTTGAATGACTTGCCCCAATTAGTGGTAAAACCCTGACTGACTGTAATAGCTAGAAATCCTGGCCTTCCTCTTCCATGTGGGGGCCCATGGAATTCATGGTGAGATGATTCACATAACCAGGGGAAATTGAGGTAAAGCCTGTTTCACCTGAATAACCGGAGAAATACCCAAGAGTGAGATCTACTTCACTGGCAATAGTCTCACATGCAAGATACGGAGAGCATCAGCATTTGGATAGTTAAAACTGGACCAGGCACTTCTACTTCGTAATATTCCCTTTCCCCCACTCCTTGCCTTCTAGGGCTTGTCTACACAGGGGAAGGAGGTGGGGTTTACTATGCACTAATTTGGGGGCTGAGTTCATTGAAATGACCTGTGTACACACAACACAAACCCTTCAAGCATAGTAGCTCTGCAGTTAAAGTGTACTCTATGCTACACTTGGAAAGTTCACTGCATATTGAGTGTGTACATTCTTTAGAGCAGGAACTGTGATAACTTAATCATCTGTATAGTGCCCATTATATACATTTATGTATGACAAGCGACCTACAGTATAAAGGCTAGTAATCAGGGCCAAAGTGCTGAAGAATATGCTGAGGGGCAGTCCTGCAAATTCTGTCCTGTACTGGTTCCAGGGAAGATGGCTTTGATGGACCTTTTTCAGCTCCAGTTTCTCTGAGTCCCTAAAATTCTGGAGGTGAAATGCTAAGTAAGATGCAGATTTCCTAAACCTTGATGAAAATAAGGGTTTGGGGGAGGCGCCTGGGGGGATTTGCATCTGGAAATGGAGAAAGATCAGAGCTTTTATTTTAAGTTTTAAATCAACAGCGTTATCAGAGTTTCCTTCAGAAAAGCCAGTTGATGAAACATGAGTTGGGTTTTTCTCTGAGTTCCCTCCCCCCTCCCTTAAATCCTAAACTCTCTGATCTTCTAAGGGCTTAATTTAAAGAGCTAAATCTTCAGACATATGTCGGAATAACTTTTCTTTGAAACTAAGCAATTAAAAATATGCTGAGATTAGTCATTTCCTAGTGGAAAATGCACAAGTGCATTACAGGAAGATAAGCTTGAGAAGCCACACAACCAAGTGCAGTAATCATCTAGAGAGCAGAAACAGAAATTGCAGAGGGAAAAGATGCTGGTACCTGGCTGCCTTTTAACGGCCAAATTTAATCTTTCTTTTTTTCCCACCTTTTGTGATAATTTCTGCAGTTATACAAAGTGATCCCATAAGCTTTCTGTTGGCTGCTTAACTGAGGTGACTTCCTTCCAATGCTATCTCTATGAATTGGACCGTTAGCCTCTAGGGACAATCTGCTTTGTGGCTGCCGGTCATGCATCTGCAAAAGTTTGCAAGCAAATCAATGTGTCCCTGCAGCTTGGCAGTTGAGTTCAGCTGTGGCAAAGCAGGGGTTTGCATTGTGCAGAATGGAGGCACCACAAGTTTGACAGAAGCATTAATGAGAAATCAGCTGAAAGTTTGGTTCTGACTTTCATCTAGTAATATGCTAAGTAACAGTGGCATTTCTCTCGTGTCCTTCATTTCTTTCAAAGTACTTTACATACAAGCAATTAATTATTGCAAATCCCCAAATGGTAGGTCACTATTTATTATCTCCATTATACAGCTGGCAGAAGCACAAACAATCAAATTACTTCTGCTAATGTAACACAGGGAGTCATTGGCAGAAATGGGACTAGAACCCAGGCGTCCCTGCTCTAGCTGCTGGGAGTCCCTTTCCCTACCACTAAGGTCTAGGTTCTCCAAAGAGATCGCAGACTTCAGAAATGTGAAACGTACCTTCCTGCACATGAATGGGCATTTTGCACATGGAAATGGGGTAACTCCTCCTGTCACTATTTGTGTATGTGCGATCACACCACTGGGGTATGCAAAAGTGTGAATTTGCAGGTGCCTTGCCACTCCAGTCAGAGAATGTGGCCACTAGTGGCATTTGCCAAGCAAAGTTCTATAGGAGGTTTTGTGTCTTGTTTGTTTTCCTGCAGAATTTAAAATTTGCTTCTCTCCTTCTGGTGCTGCTTCCTCCCACTGTGTGGCTGGGCTGGGAGAGTGTAGAAAAGAAGAAGATTGAGAGGGGAAATGCCAGACATGCCTGCTAGAACAGAAGGCACATTTCCAACCTGGCTGGAGGTATATGCTCCGGAGCGGGGCACAGGCAGCTGCCACTGGTGGTTTAAGGCTCAGGAGCTGCAGAAGCTCATTACCGCAGTCTGTTCTTCGGGTACTTATTCGTTACCAAGAGGGACACCAATTTAGTCACTTAGCTGTGTCTGGATTCCTACAAGGTACATGGCATGTTCTGCTAAGCATGATACAGCTCCTCAAAGGGCTCTATCCTGCTTATTGGAGTCAATGGCAGAACTCCCATTGAATTCAATGGTGCAAGATCAGGCCCTAATTACCCAGCATCGTGGCCTCCTTTGAGATGCTGCTTTGTAGGCTGGCCTGGGCTTCCCTTCCCAGGCACACCATTTCAGAAATACGCTGCTGTGTGTTAGAGTGTGTATAAATCACCAATCTACCAAATATCAGAGGGGTAGCCGTGTTAGTCTGGATCTGTAAAAAGCACAGAGAGTCCTGTGGCACCTTTAAGACTAACAGATGTATTGGAGCATAAGCTTTTGTGGGTGAATGCCCACTTCGTCGGATGCATGCATGACGAAGTGGGCATTCACTCACGAAAGCTTATGCTCCAATACATCTGTTAGTCTTAAAGGTGCCACAGGACTCTCTGTTGCAATCTACCAAACTCAGCCACAAGATGGATGCCAATGCAATGAGTGACTGAAATCCAGCTACTCAGGTCCTTCCCACACAGTATCCATCCTGGGTTGCTACAGAGGGATTTTATTGGAGAATATATCTTGGAGAATTTGTCTGCAAATCAAGTTAATATTGTTGGTTTCTATTATATTTATATTTGTCTGTAATCCAAAATCTGTGAAGATATATGTTGGTTGGCAGGTTCAGCTGTCTAAATGAGAAAATGCAAGTAATTCCTGCAGGACCATATAAAAACATATAGGGTACATTTACAGATAGGTGTCTGGACCTCAGCTCTTCTTTTGTGGGTGCAATTTGTACCCCAATTTTTGTACCCAGACAATGAACTGCAGGTGCAAATCTAAGTACATGTCTCTTTAACTACCTGATTCATACCCACATTTGGTGTGTTGCAAGCACTCAGATTAGCATCTACAACTAAAGTCCAGGCAAAAATAATGCAGGTGAAAATTTTGCTGCAAAAGGGAGTTGCCCCATTGTGAATTTGGTCCCACAATGTTAATTATTTCCCAGTGTTATATATGTCTTGCCAATAGTGGATCAAAATAAAAGGTCAGCACTGAACATGTCACAGTCAAGCCTGCCCTCCATGTCCTCCTGGTACAGCCATAGGGAAATACTGCGTTTTCTTGCAATATCATGGTTAGATAAATAGCAACAGTTTAGAGCCAGATTTTCACGCCACATCTCATTTCTCATGCATGAGTCTGGCATACGCTCACTACTGTGTGCCTATGTATAAAGATTTAGGCTCTAGTTTGCACCACTCAGATTATGCTTCATGATGCAATGTACTTAAAATACAACCCTCCGGGAGTGATGTTCCCACTGGGATGAAGCCTAGGCAGGTGATTGTCCTACTCACCCTTCCCTTCCCAAAGGCTGAATGGAATTCAGCCCAACCTGCAGCCTCTGTGCAGCCACTAACTCGCCGTGGCTGTTCCAGAGCCCACCTCAGACCCTCCTGTTGGGGGTGGGATGTTCCTGGCCCCTGCGTTTGTGCAGTTGTGGATCCAGTGGCTCATCCTCCAGCCTTCCTCTACTGCCCACTGCACTGGCCTGTCTGGAGCAGGCAGGGAGTCCCTCTCCATAGCACACAGAGGATTCAAAGACTCCCATAGACAGCTGGTCTTCCTGAGGCCCCCATACATGACCCCACTGTGGGGTTTAAGTAGTGTGGAGGGTGGATGTTACCCGCAATGACTACACCTGCCATCCAGCCCTAATTTGGGGGTGGGAATTCTCCCAGGCTTTCCACGCATGTGATTATGAAAACAGCTCTGACTCGCTGGTGTTTTCTGGCCCTGCTATGAAAGCTGCTTCCTTGGCATTAGCTAAAGCACCCCACTTTGCCAGAAAAGATTCAAGTCCTTTTTGCAGCATTCGGCTGTCTTTTTATTGGTGCCCCAGGGCTCTTGCCCTGGCTGTGTGTAAGAGCAGTGCTGGTTCCTGTAGCATGAGCCTTTTCCTCAGTGGAAAATAGCCTTTCCAACAATCAACTGCAAATGAACAACTAACGATCCCAGCAGCCCTCCAACTCAGTCTTCCCCCAAACTTCTCACTCCCTCGCCAGTCTCAGCCCCTAATAAACCCCTATCTCCTAACGTGTTTTGGGGCCTGATTCTGCCACCCTTACTCACATGGGCTAGTATCTGACACTGCAAGTGCTTCCACTGATTTCTGAGAGACCACTTGGAGTCAGGTACTACTCCATGTGAGTAAGGCACTGGAACTGGGCTCTCGATAAATGCATATGCCCTGTATTGTGCCCTGAAGATCCAGTGACCTGAGCCGTTTCAGACTGAGGGCCCCTCATGGAGAATGTTCTGTTGCCACCTCCCTCTCTTTTAAGTGGAGGCACTCTCCAAAGTAGGAAACCCCCAAGAAAGCTATCCGCCATGTTTCACATCAGAATACATGAGACAAGAGGTCTATGAATTCACTCTATCCAGATTTCACAGGGGGAGATCAGATTTCATGGTCCACGATGCATTTTTCATGGCTGTGAATTTGGTAGGGCCCTAGTCATTAGGATCAGTTTGGATAAACCCTGCCTTGATTGTGAACAACTGGGGGGGCCGGGCTACGATTTTCTTTGTATTTCTGTCTTGCACAAAACCAGCCATATGGCTAACATTCAACTAAAAGATGGTGATTAGATCTGAATAACCCTTAGACTGAGAGCCATAAACCAGGGAACTTCCTAAATCAGATGTGCAGCATTTCCACTATGCAAGGACAGAGTCAGTCAAGCAAAATGTATTTAACACTAAGGTAGGAGCTCACACATGCAGCATAACTGTCTTTATCTGCAGCCCAGCACTCAGACTGGTGTGAAATTGCCTGGCCCGAGACAATCCATGAAATCCTTAAAACCAAAAGCCACACAGAGCAGTAGGGCAAAGGGGCAACAACCACACTGGCACCCCTAGGAAACAGCTTTTGGGAAGGAACTGCTGATCCATAGATCCCAATGATCTCTGGGAGCAGCGATCACTCAAAGTGACGCCCCGTTGTGTGTACAATTAGTACATGGAAAGGATACTGGCGCTCTAACACATCGCCCTATTTAATTAGGGGTTGTGAAATAATAAATTTAACTTGCTCCCACCCACACTTCTAAGGACCTGCTGCGTTGATTGTATGGCACCAAACAGTAAATGGGATGGTGATGAATTTACACTTGCAAATTAAAAGAGGAAACAAGTAGCTATGGTATTATTGTTTGTGTTAATTAGAGTAATTTAAAATGTTTATGAAAATGTTCCCTAATGGAGAGCTTTTCAGGGGGCTGTTGCCAAGAGATTTGTGACTAACCTAAGTTGCGAAAGAATGGGGAAGATGGAGTGAGGTTACTGGAAGTAATAGCCAGATGGCAGAAGTGGAGAGAGTAACGTGGGTTACACAGCCCAGCACCTACCACATGCTGGATAACAGACCTTCAGGCAGCAAACCGTGCTTAGCACTGTCAGGCTGGTAAGACTGCAGAGGCCAAAGAACATGCCGGAGAATGCATAGAATGTGCACATCGCATGGTTAAACAGCCATCTGGAAGGGAAAAAGCATCAGGTAAAATCAAAACCTTCACGTTTACACCACGTGCTGAGCTCGCAAGGCTTGTGATTCTGTTGAGAGGGAACTTGTCTGAGTTGCTTTGTGCAGTTCATGAAGTCACATGGGTATTTCCCACCCGGCATTTCAAACCAGACACTTGATTACAGAAGTTTGGCACCACTCCAGCTCATGGTTTGACACAGAAAGCAAAACTACCTAAGCGGAAGAGCTGGGCTCTGGGAGGCTGTTCTGGTGGATGCAATGGAATGGGGAAATAAATACCTAGGGCCTGATTGTCTAAGGAGTTGTGCATGTGGTTGTGCCCCTACGGTACACACCGTTATCGTGACTGTGAGCACAAACTGAGTCGTCGTGAATGCAAATTACCATGATTAGCTAGTCCCACATGCAGTTGTACACACAAGCTGCATGTACTGCTTTTAAAAAAAAGCCTTCTATATATTTAACTGAAACAGTTTCACTCTTTGCACATTACTGTTGGAGTGTCAGTTTCAAGGAAGTAGTAATAATGTTTAGCACTTTTCATCCACAGACCTCAAAGATCTTTACAGAGGATGGTTAATATCATTAGCCCCATTTTACAGATGGGGAAACTGAGGCACAGAGAGACAAAATGACTTGCCCCAGGTTGCACAGCAGGTCAGTGGCAGAGCTGGGAATAATCTCTGGTCTCTTGACTCCCAGTCCTGTGTCCTAACCACTAGTCCACGCTACCTCCCTCAAAACAGAAAGGTGATAAGTCAGTTTCGGAAGGACGCTGCACGTGGCTGAAAGGTTTTGTCCTAGCAAAGCTCAGTTTAAATATGCTGCAGCACCTGCTGGTACATACTGTACAAGTCCCGCCAGCCCCCTGGCATCGGGTGGAGCCAGAGTAGAGGTCTGCTTGGGCCTAATTTTAAAGCCCAACCTGGACCCAAACCTGACCTGAGCACAGCCGACCCCAACCCAACTGGAGCGTGTCAGGTCAGTTCTGAAAATGATTCCACCCAAATCCTGAACCTGTGTCGGCACTGCCCCCTAGTCCTTGAGTCCCTGGGCCTGGTGGGGGCTTCCTGCGCTCTACGTCCCATGGCCACGATCTGTCTCTGGCTGCTTCCCTGTGGGGTCGGGCTGGCGGCTGCGTGTGCTGCTGGTGCCACGCTGTGCTGTGTGTTGGCATGCTCACACTGCAACACACGCAGAGAGCAGCGAGGTGGTGCCAGCCAGCAGGAGTGGGGTACGCAGCCGCCACAGCCTACCCCCTGGCCAGCAGAAGGTGAGCAGAAATGACCCAACCCGAGGCTGGGAGGGTCAGGTTGTTTTCATACCCAAACCAAACCCGACACTTGTCGTCAGGTCCTGCAGGGTTGCAAGGCGCTAGAGCAGGGGACCTACAGCTCATGAGCCACATGTGGTTTCTTTGGACCACGTTTGTGACTCTCCCTACTGCCCCATGTGGATACATCCCCACAATGCCACATGGATTCAGATAGACTCCAACCTGCAACACCAGGCACTGGTCAGATTGATGGCTGGGCTCATACCTCTTGCTGAGCTGTGGGGCAAACCAGAGGAGGGTGAACAAGGGAGCAGCGTAAGCCAGTGCAGGGGACTAGTTGGAGCCACTGCCTCTGAGAGGTGCGTATGTGGTGGCCACAGAAGGGCCAGCAGCACTAGCCTATGTCTTGGGGGGGAGTTGCCGAGGGGAGGCGGGGGGATGGCTCTTCCTGCTGAGGTGGCTCATATCTGATTATATTTGGCTCAGTCCCTTGGGAATGATCCCTGTTCCCAGTGCAGGATATGAATTCCTATTAGGAGAGATCTGGGGCCAAACTTACACTGGTGTAAGTCCCTTGCCTTCAATGGGATTATTTCAAATTTACATCGCTGTGATTGAGCTCAGACTTTGGCCCCTGGTCTTCATTCCTTCTCCAGGTCAAGGCAGGATTGGCAAACTGACACCCGCAGAAATGCCCGTTAAATGCAATGCCATGCAAATGAGCTACCTGTGTGCAAAGAAGGATGGCGTGGCCAAAGGGAAGAGGGTCACCGTCATGCCCAGGTCACTGATAGCCAGGTTCACAATGAAGAATTCAGCAGGCTTCAACACGGATCTCTTCCGATAGGCCACCAGCAAGAGCAGGGAATTTCCAAAGAGAGAAACTATGCCTGAGAAAAGGCAGAGAGAGACAGACCCAGTATAGGATACCCAAGCTCGATAGCAGCAGTGCAGTGCATGACATAGGGACAGGGAGGGCGTGTGTGCAGGTCTGTCTTGCTGGTCACCTACTATCCTCAAACACTGATGGGTTGTGTTTATTTGGCAGCCGTGTACGTGCAGAGATGCCGCTCACTGCATGTATGAATGTGTAAAGGGAAGAACAGACACAGATCTCACACATGCAGATTTCCCACTTTAGGATCTGTGGGGTCCTATAACGCTCTGGGTCACATCCCTTCTTAATTGCTAACCAGGACTTTGAAACATGCAAGGAGAAAACTGCTTCTCAGCTTTTACCCAGCGTCCACTGTGTGCTGGTGCAGGAATTTGGAGTGTAGTGAGTACATGGGGAATACTCAGCCAGGACAGACGTGATCAATAAAGCACTTGGCTTTGTACCTCTGCTGCATCAGCACCTTGTGCAATGGTTAGCGAGCATTTGGCAGGCAGGCTGGCTGGAGACAAGAAGAAGGGTTTTATATGGACTGCTCAAGCACTCTGTCCAATCTGTCTGTTCTGGCTCTTGGAATGATATAGTTCACACTGGGCATGCTCCTTCCACACTAACATTACCTCATCTCCTCTGCATAGTCATGGCCATTCTAAGAACTTGGTAACTGCCCTTTCAGTTTGCATTAAGAAGCTCCAGGTAACCAGATATAGGGCAAGAGCCAGGCAACTCTCCAAGCTCTCCTGGATGCATCATTTCCACGCTATACAAAAGGCGGAAGTGTCTTCAGGCTTTTCAAGGCTGGTCACCCCCTGGTATATGATCTGCTTCCAGGACTTGCTGTACTTGGCAAAAAGAGTGTCTTCAGCTGGCACAGTGAATAACAACCATTAGACACCTAAGGGCATGAGGCTGCCTGAGCACTTTTAGAGCAACTTTAAATGGGAATGTAATTGTTAGATGCTTTGGGGATGGGGCAGCAGGCAGAATGTCAGTGAAACGGACTCTGGGAGCAGAGTCCAAGGCAGAGCTGAGTTCCTCTGACTGAAGACAGGGAGCCTCCAACCCTTTCCAGCCGGATAAATAGTGTGAGCTTTGTGACAGTGTTGTTATGGTGGTGATGCCAAGAAGCTGAGCATGTTCCGCTTTTAATTTCTTCCTGGCAATATCTCTAGTGTGAGTCTGTGCTGTACAATATTGTGTTTACAACATAAACAAAAGGACATTATGAAGATTAGGGTAAATCCAGCCTAACCAACAGGAAAAAGCCATTTGTTTCCTTGGAATGTATTTAAAACAACAGTGGTAAATAAATGTTCATACCAGGGTTTTCTTCCTCTGTTAAGTAACATTAAAAGAATTTTCCTGTGTATGCACAAAGGGGAACCTAGCTACTCAAGGGGCAGGTTATGTGGGACTCGAATTAATTCCCAGTGGATTAGCTTGTCAATGAAATATTATAGTTACAATTACACGCCAAAGCTGTATAATGGCTAATATAAACATGTTATCCTCAATAAGTAGGACTCCTGCAGGGGAGACTTGCTCCCAGATATATAGTTTTTGAATGCTTTTTATGGGTCACTTAAGGGGAACTAGTTTGCAAATGCATATCCTTGTTTCCAGCACTGCTAGAGGACTCCTCCACAAAGCTATTTTGACTCCTTCCCTCGCCTCTTCATTAGCTGTATTCTACTAGCTTTATTATCTTCTAGGATCTTTCTTAGCTGCGTGCAAGAGCTGCTGACTTTCTCAGTCTTACTCAGAATGGCATGAAGTAGGCTGGTTTTTTCCATGTATGCCATTTCATTATGTGAGCGGGTGCACTCCTGTGTGCACATGTGTGTTTGTTCCTGTGTCTGTTTCCATATGCGTGTGTGTGTGTTGAGAGCTCTGGTATGCACACGTCTACCTGTGTGTGTGTATGGTCATTTGTGTAGTTGTGTGTTTGTGTTTCTGTGTACTCCTGGTGTGGTTGCATGTGTATGTGTGTGGTATGTGCACTCTTGTGTGTGCATTTCTGTGCATTGCTTGCACACCTCTCATCTTACAGAGGTTGACACATGGGACACAGAGTGAGTGTATGAGCTCAGGCTGTTTAAAATGACATGGGATCCATTTCTTCAGCGTAAGTTCAGATAAGATTTCCTGCGACCTTGCTTTGCGATCAGTTCCTGGTTTTTGAAGTGAGTTTTCTCTGATAGTAAAAGTGGGAGATCGCCACATTTGGGTGGGATGGAGGAAAATTAGGATGTGAAATGCAGCATCCCAGGCAGGAGTGTGGGCAGACTGGTCCTTCCCTTCCCTCCCTGGCTTTGACTGGGAATCAGCTATTGCAATGTTGCTAATCTCAAGCATTCAAAAGTCGAGTTGGGCCCTTAAAAATCAGGAGGTTTAAACAACCCAAACAAGCTGGATTGTTTTTCTTTTACCTTATAGCTCTTGAGCCTTCAGGGGGCACTTGGGGCACATTTTCAAGCTTTTCCTCCACCACAAGAGCCAGAAACTTTGTTGAAAGGGGAGATTTACATGTAATCACATGACTGCATGTGCCTGGGCTCTGTGAGAAACACCAGATGTCACAAGACTCATGATTAAACCTCGAGAGCTGGCAACGCTGCTGTTGGGAATCTTTCGCCTTTAGAATAAACTGCCACCTACACACACAGCTCACAAGAATGAAAATACAAGGACTTGACCAGCCTGGGCCTAAGCTGTGGGGGGATGCAGAGGAATGGCACAAGGCCGGCTCGTTGGTCAGGGGACAGAATTCTGACCTAGGAAGTGGTCTTTGAGATGTAGGGCCTGGATGATCTGTGTCTAGGTCTGGCGCCCATGCCTGATCGGACGCCCTGGGTGATCACTTTATGTTACAAACTATTTATTTTTTCCAGAGGCATCCAAGCCATTAATTCCTTCTCTCCCTCACAGCAGAGATCCTTTGTTCAGCGCATCATTAAGCATCTCCTAGCCGTAGACAGAAGAGACGCTGATTAATTTACCTTGCTATCTATTGAAACCTGAAATGAACAAGTCATTGAGAAGGCAGCTGTGTGGGACAGTGTGTCAAATCCTGTTTTCAGTTAAACTGGTAACTCTACTGGCTGCAATGGAGTTATTCCACTTTTACACCAGTGTAACAGAGACCAGGATCTGGCTCTATGGATGTTTGCAGATTATCCTTCATTTTCTTTCAGGATTTATTCACCTCTCCTCACACCACAGTGTGTGTCACAGGGCTTCACTCACAGCTCACCCTCATTCCTAGAGCTGGGCAAAGAGAGCTCATTCCTTTCCCAGAGGATTTCGGTATTTCGACGTTTGGTTTTGTTTCAGTGAGGAACTAAATCAAAAATTCCAACATTCTCTTCAAAAGTGAATGGAGCCCCAGCCTCAGGGTGGTTTGCCTGGTGAGCTGCCCTGCAGTCACAAACCCTGCAATCCCTGGGGTTCCCATCCCCAACGCAGTCTGCAGGGGCAGCCTGCCCCAGAGCCACACACCCTGGAAATTCAGGCTCACCAGCTGTGCACCAAGTAGCTGCCCAACAGCCAGAAGGACAAGCTGGCAGGAAACCAGGCATGTTTCTTACAGGAACTCCATTGGCACTTTGGCCAAATCGAACCATCTCCACAGAACATTTTGATTTTGCGGAACTGACAAATTCTGCCAAAAAATTGTTTTATTGGAATTTTTCTGACCAGTTTTTCTCCTTACTTTCCTCATTGTTATTTTTACAGACAAAACACTGCTTGTCTTACTCATGTGAGCAGGAGCAGCCCCATGGGAATCTATGGCATTGCTCACTTTAGCCAGGATTAGGCCTTGTCAAAGCATGTCTTTACACCTCAGCTTTGCTTATTGGCTTTCAGATGTCACCAGTGCCCCCTGCTGATAGTGAAGGGCAGTTCAGAGGTGTACACACTCCTTGAGGTTAATGCATTTTGCATGCTTGAAGCTAATAATAATGCTAAGTAACTGAGGCCTGATTCTTCTCCCAATGGCTGGCTGCAGTAGGAGTTGTATCAGGGCCTTATATATCACTCTTTAACTTCAAAGCATTTTAAAACATGAATAAATCCTCACAACCCTTTGTGAGGGAGATATGTACTACTAGCCCCATTTTGCATGTGGAGAAACTGAGGCACGGAGCACTGATGTGGCTTGCCCAAGGACCCAGAGGAAATTGGTGTCAGGAGTAGAATCCAGAAAGTCCTGTGCTCATGCCATACTTGTCTGTGATGGAGGAGCGTGTGGGAGGGGTGAGCTCAGATGAACCCAAAGGACATGGAACACTCTTCTGGAAGTAATAAACTATTAGTGGAAGTGAATGCAAGGTGCCTGAATCTCCCTGTGACAGACACGTCAGTAGTTTTTGCCATGGAGATGAGTGTGAGATCACCTGCGTAAGAAGAAGTCTTTCCTTACCAAAGAGCAAATAGAGTGTGCCAAAAATCAGGTCTTCTCTCTCTGATAAGGTGGACGTGAACGCTGAGGAATCAGAGGCATTTCCCATCTGCAAAACAGAATACAAATGTAAGGGGAGGTGAATTTTTGTTAATTAAGGAATGTTCAGTTTTCCCTCTTCCTGCGGGAGCATGGCTGTTGGAAAGACACATTTTTGGCATGAGGCCTTCCTCAGGCTGTGGACAAACAAAAGTCCGCGGCTGGAACTGCATGTACATTGCATGGGTGCCGTGAATAAAGGGAGTGACACAGTTCATAAAGAGTGTGGCGCTCGGCTAACTGGCTGCACAATGGGCTGATGGTAGGATCAGACTGGACTGCATAGCTGCTGGTCATCTCACTCGGAACATGGTATAATTAATTACAAATTACACTGACTAGCTGCAAGTTAATACTTTTTAAAAGCATCTGACTTAGATATTTCACATGACAAAAAGGCCACTCGCTGATTCAATTGCCATGTTCCTCTCTATGAGTGAAACCTGGCCCCATTCAAGTCAGTGGGAGTCTTGCCCTATTTTAGCGAACTGGTTTTATATCAAGCATCTTTCTCATCTGCCAGTGGGATTCCTTAGGGTCTGACCTCCATTTTTCACATGTGTTAAACTCATGCAGATTGCAATGGGCTATATACGCTCACAAAAGATGACCAGTAGAAACTAAAATTGAAGGGCTAGGTTTTCAGCCAAGCCCAAGGCAGCCTCCAAATATGCATCACCACTTCTTTGCATGTGCAAAACCCTCATTTCCACCTACGTGCCTGGTCTCTGCACACTGATAGCCATTTGCACACGCAAAACACCCCCAGAATCACTTTTGTTAGGCCAATCGGTTGCTCACACAAAAGTGGGGGTGCTGAAAACATGGCCTTGAGTAGCTGGTTATGACTTTCTGCCCACACAGGCATGAGGTTGATTATGGTACACATCAAATACAAATCAATGTCTTTCTGATGGATAGATTTATCTGTTGTGGTATTTGTGGTGTGGATAACACTAGAGACTGGACTGCAACCACACATGCCACTGAGCAACATTCAGTTAGTTGTCTGAAAACATAGGCTCACTGTGCAGTGGCAATCAAAACAGCTAACAGAATGTTAGGAACCATTAGGAAAGGGATAGATAATAAGACAGAAAATATAATGCCACTATATAAATCCATGGTACGGCCACACCTTGAATACTGTGTGCAGTTCTGGTTGCCCCATCTCAAAAAAGCTATATTAGAATTGGAAAAAGTACACAGAAGGGCAACAAAACGATTAGGGGTATGGAATAGCTTCCATATGAGAAGCGCTTAATAAGACTGGGACTTTTCACTTAGAAAAGAGACGACTAAGGGGGGATATGACAGAGGTCTATAAAACTATGAATGGTGGCGAGAAAGTGAATAAGGAAGTGTTATTTACCCCTTCACATAACACAAGAACCAGGGGTCACACAATGAAATTAATAGGCTGCAGGTTTAAAACAAACAAAAGGAAGTACAACTTCACACAACACACAATCAACCTGTGGAACTTGTTGCCAGGAGATGTTGTGAAGGCCAAGACTATAACAGGTTTCAAAAAAATTAGGTAAGTTCATGGAGGATAGATCCATCAATGGCTATTAGCCAAGATGGTCAGGGACACAACCCCATGCTCTGGGTGTCCCTGAACCTCTAATTGCCGGAAGCTGGGAGTGGACAACAGGGGATGAATCACGTGATAATTGCCCAGTTCTGTTCATTCTCTCTGAAGCCCCTGGCATTGGCCACTGTTGGAAGACAGGATGCTGGGCTAGGTGGATCATTGGTCTAACCCAGTATGGCCGTTCTTACGTTCTAATCAGGTAGTAACCACTTTCTGTCACTATTAACCTGAGCTGGATTCAAACTGACTCCTCTGTTTTGAAAGGCTACCCAACCCATTGCCTAGGCCCAGAATCATCCAGTTCCCTTCTTTTAAACTTTCCTGTTCCTGAGTCTCCTGGTTTCATCCAGGAACCCAGCAGAAATACAGTTTTCATGGTATACAGCCCAGACAAACCCAGGTGCACTGTGAAACATTCAAGAAACCCTGTTCCTGGGAGATTCCCACTGCAAAGACATTCAGGACTATTGGATGCTCCTCTGATCTGAACCACCAAACCTTTTTCAGATTCACTTGCAGCTAGTATGTACTAGCCAGTTCTGTCAAAGATGGCAGGGCCCCCCTTGGAGTTAGCATGAGGGAGGACCTTGTTGAAGGCCAGCTGCTGATCTGAGCTCCCCTGGGTGAATATTATTTGCTAAGGACTGATAATGTACTCAGCCCTGTGCAGGGCAAAACCAAAGACTGGCCCTACCTTAAGCAGTTTACACTCTAAGCATAAAAGAAGGGGTAAATCCTGCTCCCTTTAAGTCAAAGGAGTCAAGATTTCAGTCAAAATTTCACCCAAGATGCTCAGGAAGACCCAGAGGAAGAGGTAGGTTTAAGGCTTGATCCAAACCGCGCTGAAATCTGTAGGAGTCATTCCATTGACTGCACTGGACTTTGGATCAGGCCCTTACCTGTGAGCAGTTGTCTTACTGTGGGGCTTGGGGTTTGTTTTTATTAAGTTGATGACGCGTTAAAGTTTGTTAGCCTCATGGACTACGTGGGTCTGTAGAAACTTCCCCCAAACAAAAAGGATTACACAATTTTTGTCCTCAGGTTTCACCCACGTCCTCCCTCCAACAAAACAATCAACTTTGTATTCAGTTAAAGAGTGCATCCTGGATTGAAAGGCAAACAGCTAAAGCGCTGAAGGCAATTTAATAATGTGGTCTGTGGTTATGTCTCCATGAGCACTGTCTAAAACTTCTTTTGTTGATGTTGCCTGATTACTCCTTTCAAGCCCTCTCGTGATGGGTGTAGTACAAGAACCTGTACAAAGTAGAACAGAATGTTCTACCCCATCAAAGCTGCTGTTTGTTCATTAACTCAGTTTACCTAAAAATCCAAAGTCAGATCCCCATGTGACATGAATCAGTCTAGTTCTACAGCTATCCACAGAGCTAGGCCAGTTTACCCAGATGAGGGTGTGGCCCCAAGTTTTAGAAAAGCAAGACTTTTCCCACAGGAAACAAATTATGATCATTCTTCTCTTGCAACGAATGGACCTTAATTTTTATTTTTCATTAAGGACAATGGGATGCCAATAAAGAACACAATACCTCCACACCTTTATTCGCTTTCTGCCTGTGCATGCAGCATCTTCCATGACTCCATGTAGCCTGCAACCTCGCTGCCTCCTTCAAGTCCCTCTTAAAGGTTCACTTGGTGAAGGTACCCTCCAGCACTGATCTCCTGTCTTGCTTTCACCCATCTCTATCCCCAGATTACATGCTGCAGTAACAAACAAATGATGCCGTTTTATTTTAAAATGATTCACTCCTCTCTTTATCTTTGAAAAAAGAGACCTACTTGGCTGAGGCCACCCAGAGAGGGAATGACGGAGCTGGAAAAAGAGCATCAGGGCCTGATTTTCACAAGTGTTTCACACCAACAGTTCCAGCAGATTTCAATAGGAGCAGAGATTGCTCATCACCTCTGAAACCCAGACACCAAGAAGCTCTAATCACTGTGGGCCAGATTTTCAGGCACACAATATGTGGAGCATACACTTGCGCGCCCCTGATTTACACCTGCAAACGTCAGCACACATGCATGCATCAGTGTAGAAAATGTGAGGCTATATGTCTACTATATACAGGGCTAAATTGTGCCTGTCCCTTCACACAGATGCACAGTTGTGCAGGAGAAGGATACAAGGAGTCTGTCCCACCTTACGGCATGCATCTAAGAACTAGGCACAATTGAAGTTCTGTTGCTGTGAGGAGCTCAGGGACTGCTCCCTCCCTGCTCCCATGGAGAGCACCCTGTGGTGCCTCAAAGGGGCCATGGTCCCATCTTCCTCCATCTTACCAGCCCATAAAGTATGACTGGCATTTGGGGGGGGGGGGGGGAAATGAGCATTCCTAATGCTCACCAAGAAATTTTATGGGATGTTGTGCCTTCTAGTGCCCACCCTCTGCTCGTGCGACTCCACCTCACCCCCACTACAGGGATGTGCCTTCAAATCCCAAGATCCTGTCATGATTTGTAAAGAAGTAGTCAGTGAGCATTCAATAAAAAATGTCCTTGTCAGGGTAATCGCACACACAGCCATGCTGTTTGATTCCAGCTGCTAACGGCACTTTCCATATGGCCTCCTATCTTACAGTCCATCCAGGGTAGGTTCACAGTCTGTGGACACTCTGCCATGTGCTACCACTTCCATGAGTTGCAGCACCTCACATGCGCAAAGAGGCTGGATTCCAATACATGCTTTTTGGAAAGAGATGATGCTTCATACCATTAAAAAGCCTTCTGCAGCCAAGGATGTATGGCTGCATCTTGAAGATGCACCAAGTGCCAATATTGGTACATCAGCCTTAGGGTGTTTTTTAATGATGATCCTTTCTTATGCAATTCAACTAACTGCTATCCTGTGGGTAACAGCAAATTCCCAGGCCATGGAAGGCTACAGGATTTGCTCCTGGCAACCCAAATTCTAGTTGTGGGGTTTGTTTTAAACCATTTCTGTACTCAAATGATTGCACAAACTGCTTCACAGAGATTCCTGCTCCATAACAGGACTTTGATTTTACAATCAAAAGGAGTTAAATTAAAGGAATTGTCTATTTTATATCCTTGGAGCCCACACTTTTTAAAAAAAAAGTCTTGTTGTTTCTTGCACTATACACCAGGGGCCTGATCCTCAGCAGGTGTAAATCAGAATTGCGCCACTGAAGTCAATAGAGTGACACCAGTTTTACACCAGATGAGGACCTGGCTGCAGTTCTTCATTTGGTGATGTGCTGTGAAACTTCTGAAACCATTCACGTACCAGCGGGACCTTTTCTAATTTCCATTGCCATGTGATATCTGAAATGGCACTAGAAAGAAGATGAGGCAGACACATCTGTTTGTGAGGAGCCGTTGAATCACCTTCTGTCCCCACATTTCATGGCTGTTTCTGGTTGGTAATTTGTTTGTTTGTT